ATTTAACAAGAGGCACACAGGTTTCAAGTACTTATAAATCTGTTTTGATTTCTTGAATGTTTATTAATAACAAGTGGCACATCACATGGCTGGCGTAAAGTAGCCATGTGATGTGCTACTTGTTATTAATAAACATTTACGTTTTAAATATTTCCTCGGTAGCATTCATGTTGTTATTATTTTTATATGCTATTGGAATTTAGGTTACAATACCGGACGAGCTGGGAGGCGCCATAATTGGTAAAGGTGGTTCACGTATCAACAGAGTGCGTGAGGAATCGGGGGCAAAGATAGAAGTGGAGCCACACCGTGATAATGGAGGCGACCGTGTAATCACAATTTCGGGAACTCGAGAACAGATTCAAGCAGCGCAGTATCTGCTACAGCAGTGGTGAGCCTTCTCATTTTGTTCCCATTGCGCATATTACTTCAGGCTAAGAAGACAGAGGAACCAACACCCGATGGTATAGCCGCAACAGCCTTTGACTGGGTTGTGCCGATGGCACAAATATGTACCAGTAACTGCACAATCGCCCGAACTATCAGCATGGTTATCCCATGTTAGTGATGTTACCAGGATGCTGTCACACATTGGACACAGCTGTGTCCTCACCTCTTCGGTATATGTGCTCCATTTCTTTAAAGGCTACTCAAATAGTCGTTTACTGTTTCTGTGTGATGTCCACCAGTTGTTATTAAGGCTAGTAGCATGCCTGCCCATCGATTTTCATTTTCTTGCATTAATATATACAAGCATGACAAAGTAAGTGACTGGAGTGATGAGTAAATAGTGCGCCTTTGCGCTTTTTATGCGTTTTGTGCTGTGTAACAGCGGTACAAAACGCATATTGTCACGGGGTTATCTGTGTAAGTGTGTCTCACATTTTGTCCCGCACTTTCAACTCGGGAACCACAAAAGCTAGACGGCTGAAATTTTAGTATAGTATTTAAATTCAGCCTTCCCGTATCTGCGGGTAACACGTACGGCCCCATAAAAGTTTTGGCGGGTAAAATCGTCTCGGAAACCACGGAGTCTAGGAAGCTGAGATTTTATGGTTATGTCCCCTGACCACGTACGGCCTCACAAGTTCAGTGTTCCCACGCTCTCGGATATCACCTACCTCCCCTTGAAACTTTCGTAAATTACTGTCTTGGAAACCACGGAAGCTAGGAAGCTGAAATTTTGTGGGTATGTCTCCTGGCCGCATGCGACCTAGAAAACTCAAATTTAATTTTCTTGTACCCGCGGGTAACACGTACTGCCCCGTGAAATTTTTGGCGGATAAAATTGTTATCTCGGGAATCACGGAAGCTAGGAAGCTGGAATTTTATGGATATGTCTCCTATCCACGTGCGACCCAGGAAATTTAAATTCAGCCTTCCCGTACCCGAGGTAGCACGCACGGCTTCGTAATAGTTTTGGCTGGAAAAATCATTATCTCAGGAATCGCGAAGACTGGGGAACTGGAATTTTACGGGCGTGCCTCTTGACCACGTGCAACCAAGAAAATTTAAATTCACTTTCACGGTGCGCTTGGGTATCACGTATGCTACGATGACGAGGCGACGCTGAGGCGAATGTTCCGCAGATTATTCGGACGGGAGTATGGCGAGCTTCGATCGAGTCTTGGACGAATGCCGATGTGCTCTATGCGCTTGGTGGAGAGACTGGAGTAAATAAGCGAACTTTATCAGTACCAGTACAAGTTTACAGTTCAATACTTGGAGTGACGGGATCAAGTCGGGCAATTGTAGCGACAGCCGCTGCAGACGAAGAATGCTGATCACTGGAGTGCAGCAACACACTGCTGCAACTAAACACTGGACGCCAAACACAGAACACAGGGTGCGGGACACTGAGCGACGAATACTGAACACTGAACGATGAACACAGGACACCGAACTTTACAACAAATTTAC